ACACACACACACACACACACACACACACACACACACACACGCACGCACACACACACATCCACACACACACACACACACACACCTCGTATCCCTCGTCGATGAGGAGCCGCTTAAAGTCGGAGAGGCGCAAATCCCCAACAAACACGACGTCGTGTGGCTCCTGGCGATCACAATGGAAACGAAACATTAAAAACACACGTGTGACACCCGTCAGTGCAGTGTGTGTGGTGTGTGTGTGTGTGTGTGTGTGTGTGTGTGTGTGTGTGTTTGTGAAAGGGACATGAATAAAGCACGTACAGGCAGAGCCAAAGGAAACACGTGCATGTACCGGTTCCTCGTCCACGCCGAGCTCAGGCACCCCCGCTGTCAAATGGGGGAGGAAGTGATGACGTTATGGGCACCACACAGGCACGACAAGCAAACAGGGCACGACGAGCAAGTGGAGGTGAGCAGAGTCAAGACCAACACCCCGCAACCACAACAGCAGTCTGAAATAGAGAGTATTGTGCGCGCGCTTGCGTACACGAAGCATAATCGTCGGCTGCGACGTTGCGATGTTCACGCACCGTCCATGTCGATGTTTGACGTCAGCGATCCCGCATCCGCATCCTCACCACCTTCACCATTACCGCCCTCGCCATCACCACCCTCGCCTTCGGGCGCTGCGGGCTTGATTCCCTTGGCCATGACCCCGTCCACCCAGGCCACCTCATAGTCGCCCGCGCGGCGAAGATCAAGCGCAGACACCAACGCCTCTCGCAGTTTCACCTGATGGGGGGGGGCAGGGGGCAGAGGGAATGGACGTATGGTGAGGGCTTATTGGTGGGTGCTCATGAAGATCGGTGTTGGGGAGGGTGGGGACAAAGGACAATGAATCAGAGGAACATACACAGAGATACACAGAGATACACACAACACACACGCACACACACAGACACACACACGCACAGATACACACACAGACACACACACACGCACACACACGCACAGATGCACGCACACACACACACACACACACACACACACACACACACACACACACCCCCCCCCTCGCGTCTGCCTCGTCCGACCTGGAAGATGTTACGGCCAGACGTGATTTCGACGGGGCGGCCAAACGCCGGCGTGACAATGTTCTCAATGCCCAGCTTGGACTGGCAAAACTCAGCAAAGGTCTGGGCAGGGGGCACAGGCATTGAGCAGAGGCACGGGTGAGTGTGCGTTGTGCATGTGAGAGAAGGAAAAAGGACAAAACAGCACGACAGGTGGCCTGCAAGCTCGCAGAGCCCGAGACCCACAAGCACACACACACACACACACACGAACATGGCAATTCATCTATCGCACCACCGCCATCATTCTACATCACCTTCGTCTCGGCTGGTGGTCCCTGGACGAGGACGAGGTTGCGCGGCTTGACGTGCTCCATGATCCGCTTCATCGACTCGCCGTCCGTCCGCCCCTCAACGTCAAACCGATGCACCTGCAGCAAGAGCACACGCACGCCGCGGTG